GAGCCAGCAAACCTATATATATATATATATATATATATATATATATATATATATATATATATTAGAATAATCGTTAAGGAGCCAGGCAAGCCTACCTAGGTTTCACCTAAACACGTCTACATGTTCCATAACGGCTGACTTTAAAAAGTGCTCAATAGGGCGACCGAGAACTAAAATTATATAAATAGTATTGCTCAACTTCTAATAGAATAGTTTCAATTACAAGTTGAGCTATCCGAGTTTTTTTCAAAACAGTATTACCATTCATATATATATATATATATATATATATATATATATATATATATATATATATATATATATATATTCGTTTATTTGTCTATCTATCTAATCTATATTCGTCGGTCTGTCTGTGTCTATCTATCTATGTAATCTATCTTCGTCTGCCTATCTATCTATCTATCTATCTATCTTTGAATCTATTTATTAAACAATATATATTTAAATAAGTGATATATATATATGTATATTTAAATATGAGAATGCTAACAGTGTTTCATGCTTGAAAGCTCTCTTCAGGCCTGAAGATTGTATTCAAACATGAAACTTTACTGTTGCCACTTGATGATGATTTGAGTGTCCACTCTTATATTTTCACACCTCTGTCCCTGATACTGACCACTTTTACGCATGAATATAAATATATATATATATATATATATATATATATATATATATATATATATATATATATATATAATAGTTATACGATTTTTCATCTTGCACCATTTCGACTTATACAAGTTTCGTCGGAAGTGCTTTTCTTCGTTACGTAAAAAATAATAAAGAGATCTGACCCCCCAAAAAATAACAATGTTAATCAGACTGAATGAAGCTATTTTTTAAAATATATTTTATATTATAAGGTCCAGCCTCAAATTCAGAATGTTCCGTATACGCTTTTTAGCTATTGATTCTTGGGTTTTTAATCACGCCTTGGTCGATTTGTCAGGAAAGGTGAACTTAATCGTCGTGTGGCACCTTTATATATTTATATATATATATATATATATATATATATATATATATATATATATATATAGATAGAGAGAGATAGAGATAGAGAGAGAGAGAGAGAGAGAAAGAGAAACAGACAGACAGACAGACAAAGACAGAGATTGTATGTGCGTTTAGCGTAAGGGTTATTGACAAGTAAAACTGAATTAACGAACCTAGTTCAAGTTTTGACCTTTCTCACTAATGATCATAGGAAATGTATCAAGCAGGCTCTTAGCTGTGGGTTAAATAACAGTGTAGACAGGGCTCTGTAGCCTTGAGGAGATGCCAGTCTAGTAGTAAGATAATACCAGGTTCAAACCGTTTCGTAGGCAACTGGAAACAACACCACTATCTTTCATAAGAAGTCAAGGCAATTCATAATGAATATAGTTGGGGTTAGTCACGATCGCCTACATCCTGAAGCGTCATATCATTTGTCAAGATCTATCTAACTATTGTGAAAAGGATTATTATAAAACTCCACAAATATAGCTTGTAAATTTGAAATGCTGCTCATAGAGTTCAAACCAGTGTGTTATATATTCAAATTAGATAAATAAGAAAGGAGGGAGGAAAAACAAAATGAAAGAAAGGCAGAAAGAAAGAAATCTTTTAGAAAAAAAAAGAAAGAAAAGATGGACACATGAAAGAAGGAAAATCGAAGAAAAAACGTAAGGAAAAAAACGGAAGAGAAATTGAAAGAAAGATGAAAAGAAAGAAGGAATGAAGGAAAAAAGAAGGAAAAATACAAAGGAAATCAAAGTGAGAAAAGGAATAAAGAAAAGTAGAAATAAAACAGAAGTTGATATGAAAGGAAGGAAAGGGAAGAAAGAATGAAGGAAAATAGAAGGAAAGCGCAAAGAATGAGCGGAAGGAAGGGAAATAAATGAAAAAAGATGAAATGAAAGAACAAAGGAAGGAAGAAACAATCAGGAAAGATGAAATGAAAGAAAAACAGGGAGGACAAAGAAAAAGAAAAAAAATGAAGGAAAGAAGAAAGGAAAGGGAAGGGACGAAAGTAAATGGGAAGGAAATCTGAAAGAAGGAAGGGAACTAGAAAGCTAGGAAGAAAGAAAGAAATAGAAGTATATATGAATGAAGAGAAGGAAAAAAAAGGGAAGGTAAGAAAGAAGGAAGGAAAGATAGAATGAATCATAAAGGCAAAAAGAAAATGTAAAAGACATTAACAAAAGTAAGAAAGACAGTTGAAAAAAAGAAAGAAAATAAGAAAGAAAGAAAACTAAGAAAGAAATATTAAAAGGTGAAAATAAAAGATAAAATATTATGAAATATAAAAAAGAATGAAAGAACGGATTAAAAGAGGGGCTAATATAAATAAATAAATCAATAAAGAAATTAAGAAAAGAAAAAAGAAAAGGCGAAGCTATAAGAAAAATATAAATGGCGAAAGAAAGAAAGAAAGAAAGAAAGAAAAGGTTAAAAGACGAAGCTGAAAGATAAAGAAATAGCGAAAGAAAGAAAGAAAGAAAGAAAGACAGGAAAAAGAAAGAAAGGACGAAGTGATTAAAAGGTGAAGCTGAAAGAAAAAGAAATAGTGAAAGAAAGAAAGAAAGAAAAAAGAAGAAATAAAGAAGTGAAGACAGAAAAAAGAAATAAAGAAGAAAGAAAGAAGTGAAGACAGAAAAAAAGAAAGAAAAGATTAAATAGGCGAGACTGAAAGAAAAATAGAAAGAAACAAAGAAAGAAACAAAGGAAAAATAAAGAAAGAAAGAAAGAAAAAGTAAGAAAGAAAAGAATTAAAAAGTGAATCTGAAAGAAAAAAAAAGAAATAGCGAAAGAAAGAAATGTAGAAACAAAGAAAGAAAAGATTAAACGACGAAGCTGAAAGAAAAAAATAGAAATACTGAAACAACGAAAGAAACAAAAAAAAAAGGAAAGAAATAAAATTATTAAAAAGTGAAGCTGAACGAATAAAAACGAAACGCCGAAAGAAAAATATAAAAGAAATTAAAAAAAAAAGAAGATAAAATGTGAAAAAAAGACATTATGAAATAAACATGAAAAGAAAAAAAAAAAAAAAAAAAAAAACACAAAAGACGACATGAAAAGAAAGAAAGCAAATTTGTACAAAATTAATTAAGGAATCAAGAAGCAAGTAAAATCACAAAAAAAAAAAAAAAATATTGGCTAACTCTTGTGTATGTATATGTATATGTTTTTCTATGCGTATATTTGTGTATACGTATTAACGTGCGCGTTAACATGAAATCCCTAGCTAAATTTTATACTGATTTAATTAGTAACATTCGGAGGCTATCCTCACTGGGTGTCCCACTAATGAAAGCACTGTGCTTGATTAAACTCAGCTTAGCAAATACCTGCCTATACGTGTGTGAGAGAAAAAAGAGAGAGAGAACAGATGATAAATAGATAGATAGATAGATAGATAGATAGATAGAGAGAGAGAGAGAGAGAGAGAGAGAGAGAGAGTGTGTGTGTGTGTGTGTGTGTCTACTAGTGTGTTAATATTATTCTGCTTGTTTACCTGTGCTTGTATGTGTATGTGTTTGGGTGTGCGTTTTTATTGTAACAAAATGAAAAAAAAGACGGTAATATTAATGTGAAACAGAGCGGAAACTAACCGAACAGGTCAAGTGAAAAACATTGCCAGCTCCTAAACAATTGTTCGACAGATGCATATTGGAAAGCCAATGAAGAATGCGAAGGGATTGCCTGTAGGGTAGGGTATACTAAAAGCGCAGGGTTGGGTCTCTGGGTTAGAATAGCGAAGGTGGCCAATGGGGCGGCCGGGATTTACTGGAAATGGTCCGTTTGACATAATCCTAATCCCGAGATTAAGAAATCGCTTTAGTCATTTCTTGTCTTGGTCATTGGGTAAGAGTTAATGCTTCGTACAGAGTTCCTGTTTAGTTTGATAATTAAAGCGATCGGAAGAAATAAAACCCTGAAAATATATTCTATCTATGAAAGGTGCTAAAAAGAATGAGCCCTTCTTCCACCACACATACAACGTTTCTGATGTTTGGTCATTTAGTCAAATTCTGAAAAGTCGCAAGACTTAAGATTTTTCAACACCTTTACTTATCTATGTATCTATCTCCTATTACTGTCAACATTACAAAATTCAAAGGTGTTGTTCATGATAACGGTCGTCTTTGAGTATAGAATCCGGAGGTTAGCAGTGAATATTTCGAAGACAGTAGGAAAGCGTTGTTCAGGTTAGCAGTGGATATTTTGGTAAAAGTAGCAGAGCATAGTTCGTCCTTCTGGTTCTCTTCGCCTGACAAGCTGGACTGGACATTCAGGTAGAGTAAACAAAATGGCCGCCTTTATACACGACGGATTGAATATTCTACGTCTTCTGATTGGTTAACCCTTTTCTTGGTGGACTATAAAATGAGTCAAGTCATTTTGACTGGCTCCCTAGTAAATACATACCCAAAAAATTGCAACAAAAGGGTGTAAGACAAGGATGTGTCTCCTCACCAGACTTATTCAACCTATACGGGGACACTTGGACGTGGTGTAATAGCAAGCTTGTTTCGCTAGATAAATTACCACAGTGGAGTAATGGATAGCGGCTTGGATTGAAGAATCGGAGAGCCGAGTTCGAATTCCAGTCAAATCCAATATATTACATACGTGCTAATACTCTTGGGAAAGGTGCGAATCCTCTTCTTCTTCTACCCAGCTATGGGTAAATAGCAGGACTGACTGGGTTCAACTGGTCTACCTCAGAAAGAAATGGCAACCTACTACGGGAGAAAATCTGCCTCGTCAGTTACTGAAAACTCATCTCTTGTTTCAGACGCCTGCTCAGGCACATTTGTGTTTGCGTACACCCAAAGAGCGTACTCGTGGTTGCACCTATGCTGAGTTACGGTTTTCTGGGAGATCATCAGGCCGATAACATCAAAAACAGGCTGACCATGGTTAGATTTGAATTCGAATGCGGGTCTCATAGTGGGAAATCGAACGTTCGTTCTAACTCGAGACATATGTATTTTTTATATCTATCACAGACATATGTATTTTATATCTATCTATCTATCTATCTATCTATCTATCTATCTATCTATCTATCTATCAGAGTCTATTCATATCTCACTCTATTGATATCTATCTCTCTAACTATCTATCTGAGTCTTTTCATTATCTATCTATCCAAGTTTATTCATATCTATCTATCTATCTATTTATCTATCTATCTATCTATCTATCTATCTGAGTCTATTCGTATCTATCTATCTATCTATCTATCTATCTATCTATCTATCTATCTGAGTCTATTCGTATCTATCTATCTATCTATCTATCTATCTATCTATCTGAATCTATCTATCTGATCTATCTATCTATCTATCTATCTATCTATCTATCTATCTATCTATCTATCTATCTGAGTCTATTCATATCTCACTCTATTCATATCTATCTATCTATCTATCTATCTATCTATCTATTTGTTGACGACTTGAAAAGTTCTACTTTCTTCTCACTCCAGTTGGTCGTGTTTAAAGCTGTGACAATTTTGAATGCCGATTTTTAAGGCTGGATGACCCTTTGCCCCTTGTACTAAACTCGGGTGACTTTAGTAAATATCTATTTAAACACCATAACCGCAACGTGGACAGGGTTAGCAAATAATGATTTTTCGCTTCGCTACAAGGAATGCGCACGACACAAACATGTTTAACATATGACTGTGAATGTCGGTTTTTTTTTTACCTCCCGTCTTTCTGATTGCCTCCCTGACAGGTGCTTCAGTGCCTTCCCCTCTTCAAGCGGGGAAACAAGGCTTTTGCCTACTTTTTCTTTAACTCGGGCCCAGTGAGTGCCTAGCGTGTCACACATTTACGCTTGCATATGAAGAAACCATACACATGCCGAGTAATTCGTGGGTGACACAAATATGTAAATGCAGCATATGTCAATATAATTAAATAAAAGTACACAATGTGTCATACACAGACATACAGTTTTGAAACAAATATGTGTAAACAGAACATAGTCAGGCACAAGGCCAAAATTGTATGACGGTGTTGTAGAGTAGTTTCACAGTGGAGGCTTGTATTTCACTAAGTCGGTCCTAAAAGGGTTCGACGTACAAAACGTTAGGAACTTGAAATAATAGTTAATGACGCAGCAAATCTAGTTGTGGTGGAATGATCCTTTAATGTCCGACATCGACTGACTGACTGACCAACTCTCTGAGCCCCCTGGCGACTGCTACTACTACTACTTATTATATCTGGGAGAGTCTATTTACAATAGAATAGGTATGTTCTAGTATAGACTGAAAGAGGATTCGAATGCTGGAAAATCTCACAGATGGAGAAGAGACTTAAAGCAGCCAAAATGTAGCTCTACAGAAGGATGCTGAGAATATCATGGGCTGAACTCGTTTCTCTAGCAGTTGATTTAGCAAAGCAAAATTTTGTTTTCGTTTGTTCAAGTGCATATCAATTTCTTATGGGTCATTTTAATGTCGAAATTTAATTTTGATTGGAGCATTTGTAACTTCTATCAAAACACTGCTGGTAATATCTCTTTTCCCCGTCCTGGGTATGACGACAAACTACATCCATTCCCTGATCAGGAGGTTTTGAGGAGCGTGGAACCACCTTTTAGTTGCAGTTGTTATCAGGTACACCCTGACCCGGGGTGGTAGCACCTGTTAGGGTCTCAGCTATGGGCAAATAGTTAAACCCCCAAACTGGGGTCAAAACACTATGAAAGTGTAAAAATAGGTTTTAATACCAGAAATACATTTTTTGAGGAAGAATTATTACCAGCAATATATTTTTGAGTAAAAAATATTATCAGCAATATATTTTTGAAGGAAAAATATTACCAGCAATGCATTTTTTAAATAATCATTACCAGCAATACATAATTACCAGTAATACAATTTTGAAGAAAAAGAAATATTACTAGCAATACATTTTTTAAAAGAATATTACTACATAACAATCTTGCCGGCATTAAATAAACCACTGAGATTGATATGCCGTAAAACAAATCAAACCAAACAAATATATACTGAGATAGATAAATAGATAGATAGATAGATAGGTAGGTAGGTAGGTAGGTAGATAGATAGATAGATAGATAGATAGATAGATAGATAAAAAATTATTACCAGCAATAAAAATCTTGTCGGCATTAAATAACCCATTGAGGTTGATATGCTGTAAAACAAATCAAACCAAATATATACTGAGATAGATAGATAGATAGATATAAATAGACTGAGATAGATAGATAGATAGATAGATAGATATAAATAAATAAATAAATAGACTGAGATATTACCAGAAATACATTTTTAAAAAAAAAAAAAAAAAAAATAATAAAATATTACCAGCACTAAAAATTTTGTCGGCATTAAATAACCCATTGAGGTTGATATGCCGTAAAACAAAATAAACCAAATCTTTGTCCTTGTAATATTTTCTTACAAAAATCTATTCCTAGTAATATTTAACCCTAGTAAAAATCTATTGCTGTTAATAAAAAAGAAAATGCAAAAATGTATTGCTAGCACCATCACTATAAAAATGTATTTTTACACTTTCATAATGTTTTGACCCTACTTTGGTGATTCACTATTTTGGGCACAGTTGGGAGCCTAACAGGTGCTACCATCCCGGGTCAAGGTGGACCTAGGAACAACAGTAGGTAAGAGGTGGTTCTGCGCTCCTCAAAACCTCCCGATTGCTTCCGGATGGAGTTTATCATCATACCCAGGACGAGATTAAGAAAAAGAAAACAAAACCGTAGAAACTAACAAAAAACTACAGAACTCTTATGTAATATCAATTCTCCTATATGGCATTCGATGCTGGAACATCTCACAGATGGAGAAGAGACTTAAAGCAGCAAAAATGTAGCTCTACAGAAGGATGCTGAGAATATCATGGGCTGAACATGTGAACAACGACGAAGTTTGAGAGAAAATTAAAACAAAAAAGACATTTATACTTAACACCAGGAAGATAGATTTAAAATTTCTAGGGTACATAATGAGGAAAGAAGGTATGGAAAATTTGATACTCACAGGACAGATTGAAGGCACGAGAGGCAGAGCAAAACAATGCATAACCTCCCTAGAGAGCTTGAGTTAATAGATGGCGGAACATTGTTCAGGTGAGATAACAAAAACACAAAATTTATTAAAACCTACAAAGGACAGAAAATTGTGAAAAGCATTGATCACCGACTTCCTAATGAGACACGGCTTATAAAAAGAAGAAATCTTTCGAAATTACTATCGATCGAGCGATCGACCTATGTCTGTTATCTAACTATTTATCTATGGTCGCTTTAAAATGTACCTGTCTCTTCAGGACCTGCTAAGTGCCTAAGTGGATAAGTGTCGAATGCATAACCTAACTAGAGAGCTTATATAAATGGATGGCGGAGTAATATTAAGGAAAGATAACATAAATACAATATGTATTAAGATCTACAAAGAGCAATAAATTGTAGAGAACCATGATGGCTTACGCCCTGAAGGGACACCGTAAATTCTTTTTCATATAAATATATCAAATTTTAAACAATATATATATATATATATATATATATATATATATATATATATATATATATATATATATATATATATATTAAGTAAATTCATTTAATATCGTCTGATAAGCTTAATAGCATTATCATTAAAAGAAGAAAGAAAATCACAATATTGATGCATATTTTTTTAATCCTGTCTAAGCTTTCGGCTTACAAAAGCCTTTATCAAAGATGACAATTACATTACAATACATTACAATTACAACAAAATTACAATATATTAAACAATACACGGACGGACAAGTTATGTAATCCGAAAGGTTAGATAGGATTAAAAATTATGTATCAATATTGTGATTTTCTTTCTTCTTTTAATGATAATGCTGTTAAATCAGACGATATGAAAAGAATTTCCATAAAATAGACAAAACTTGTCTGTCCGTGTATTGTTTAAATATATATATATATATGTATTGTATTATATATATATATATATATATATATATATATATATATATATATATATATATATATATATATATGTGTGTGTGTGTGGGGGGGTCCATAAAGTTCGTGTGCACTTTAAAAAAAAAAATTATATCTTTATTTGTATTTGCGATAGAAATAATCTGTAAAAAATGTTATAAATGTTTTATAATATACCTAGTTTTAAGTATAGCTAAAATAACTAATGTGATTTCAGGCATTACTGTAAATCAGTTGACAAATGTTTTCAGTGAACTGCAAAATCGTATTACCCTTTGTATTGCTAATGGTGGAGGACATGTGGAAACTTAAATAAAATTTCAATAAAACCTCAAAAAATATAGATTTACTTCTTTCTAATCCTTTTTACAAATTATTTCTATCGCAAATACAAATAAAGATATAAATAAAGTGCACACGAACTTTATGGACACCCTGTATATGTGTGTGTGTGTGTAACTTTAAAAATCAGGCGGTCAATTGAATACGCAACCTTAGTTTCGAACTCACGATATCATCAGACAATATTTTTCAAGTGGCCACCTTAACGCATTATTAAAAAAAAAAAAACACACACACACAAAGAACGCTGAATTATTATTTTTCAAAAATGAATAAACAGGCGCATGGCGGTCGAAAAACATGAATGGTGTATGGAGAAGAAAGAAAAAAAAAAAAAAAAATAAAGGGTGAAGAAAAAAAAAAAGGAACGGGAATGCAAATTTATTGTAAATGTATACAAAAGAAGAAGAATATTTTGAAAACTTGTTACAGCAGAAAAAAAAAAAGATGTCTTTTCATATTTTTTAATGAAAGAAGTCTTAATATGTAGAAAAAGTTGCATATTTTCATATTTCTTTAAAAAAAAAACTTAATATAATGAAAAATAGCTTATTTAATATATCCCTATAAAATTTTGTTGGTTGGAATTAACTATGAACTTTTCAGTTTTTCAATTGGATTTTGTACGCTTTCTGCTAAGCATTACATAGGAAATATTTAGGGATTTAGAGAAGTTTGAACGTGTTCTCAGTGTAATCGATATAAAAATCTTCAAAAAAAAAAAAAAACTATCAAAATACAAGGATCTTGAATTCGAAATCACAAAAATGTATCACATGAGTACATAAAAATTCCAGTTGTAGTTGGAGCCCTCTGATTAAATGGGAAAAGGTTCCGATAGACTCATTGGAGAGATTCCTGGTAGCCCAAGCCTTAAAGAAATAAATTAAAAAAAAAACATTGTACTACAGGTATAGCGCGCAACTTACGAAGGGCTTTATCTATGTAAAATGTGTGTGATCTTAGTTTTTTTCCATAATCAAATCATCAATGGAAAATGTCATGATACCATTTCTGACCTTAAGTCGCTGCTTGGGACCCAGAAAGAAATGAGTATACACCAGAAATCAAAGGAAATAATAATAATAATAATAATAATAATAATAATAATAATCTGGAAGAGGTCTTATTCAGCTAGAATTGTCATACAAAGACAACAACTACTTACCCATGGAAACAACAAATGAC